TGAAACTTTTTTTCTTTTAAGGAACAAGCTTCCTACGGTTATTTGGCATGCTACTTCGAAACTTGAAGTGATGATTCAAACGCCTTCCACCATCAGAACCATTGCAGATAGTTACCAAATTCACTAAGTTTCGAATCAGTTACGGGTTTTTTTTTGTGTTGGAACAGTAGTGAACAAATCTGGTAAATGAATGCTGTAAATTATTTATATATGTATATATAGCACATATATATATATATATAAGAAAAGCAGTACTTTGACTAAGCTATAGTTTGCAAGATATTGATGGCATCAGGCAAAGTTGTTTTGTATAATTAAATGCTTAGCTTTACTTTTTATGTAAAGTGCAGCATTTTCCATATTTGTGTACTGTATCTTATTGATCAGATGTTTAAAATTATTTTAAATACTGCATTAAAGCAATTATTTTATTAAAAATAATACATTGGTAACTTTGTTTCCTAATGTGAGAAATTCAGCGTCTGAAGCTGTCATCACCATGACTAATGGCGTGGCTCTGGGAGCTATCTGCCCATCACAATAATTGGCACGGTTGCCCCACGTGACATATTGGCGATAAACATCTATATTCTAAGGTTTTTAAACAGAACTAGGTGACAGAGCAAAGAATTTACTTGAAGAGGGGGTTAGGCAGGGAGAAAAAGAGAAAAAGCAACCTCCCATTTGCCTGACTTACCCCAGTATCTCAGCAGAGAGGCCGGGGTGGTTTTTTTTAAGAACTGGGCAGAGGTGAGTGTTTTGCACGTGTTCTGGGAAGTAAAAACACAGGAGCTGTCTCAGACTTCAGCAATGTGCAGTGGAAGCATTGTCCTAAATTATTTTTAAAGCAACTCACAGTTAATTAAGTGCAGGTTGGAGAACAAAGATGAGCATCTGCATATTGGCCTGCCTCTTTGTCTTCTTTAAACCAATGTGATACTTAAAATGAAAGATGTTGGGGAAAATAACTTAATTGATAAATAGATATATATAAAGTGTGACAGATGATTCAAGTGTTTTTATGGCCTGCCTACGATGCAGATTGCATGCTTCCGTTGCTGCCCCAGCAAGTTGCCTCTTTCACCAGTAGTTCCTCCCTGTGTGCCACCTCTTCACCACACCCCAAACACCAAAATTTTATCCTGTCAGGAGCAGCAGACATTTTCAGAAAGGTTTTCCAGCAGTTCTTAAGGCCTAATTTCAGACAGGGACAGACAAGGCCTTGGTGCAAAGGCTAAAAATATTTGTCTCCTTCCACCTGCCTCTCGTTTGAGCTCAACTTTGTTTCTGAGAAGAACAAGTGTCCTCTAAAGTGGCACTTAGAAGACACCTGAGCTTTGCTCAGCTACACCAGGAGTGAAAGGAGAGATGACCATGGGTTCACTTCCCACCTTTTCGTTACCCTTTGTGGGAAGGTGGACTGCTCTTTGTGTAAATACTAAAAGCCCAGTCATAAGGTGACGAGGACAAACCCTGCTGTCCTACTCCTTTGCCTCTTAGTTCTCATCGCGTTCGTGTTCAAGCTTGGGGACCTAGCAGCAGAGCCGTCTATGCCACTGATGCTGCCAGGGCTCTAGAGCTGTCCAGATGGCCTGCTAGCCTAGTGGCTATTTCTCACGCACCGAGCTGCCCAGGGAACTATCCCTGCCTCTCGAGTGTTCTCCTTTAAAGAAAATAGAATACACAGTCGGGGGGGGAAAGCTGTTGTTGCAGGCTCTTATCTTAAAAGCATAGTATGCTGAGTTTTGTATGTTACGTGGTGACAAAAGGGGTGCTGTACTATTTCTTCTCCAGATGCCGCTTTTTCCCTTTATTGCCATTTTTAAGTCCTACCACTGAATCCAGCCCTTTGCACTGTCTTTGACTCCAGCTTTTCCCTTCTTCCCCTGGGAAAGACTAGCCAGAGTGCACTAACACACCCCGCAGCTTTGTTCCAGGATTAATGAGGAAGGTAGCGGGGGGCTGGTGAGAGGTTGCTAGATGATTCCTCAAAGCCATTGCACTCTCTTGGACACTTTGACACAAGTAGCTGAAGGCTACTGTTTGTATCAAGTTGTTCTAGGCCCGCTCTCTAGTAGGCACCTGTGTCCTGCCATGTGAGTACACTGCTTGGCAAAAAATGCCATCAGCTGTTCTCCACGTTCATCTCTCTGCTCTGTTCTTGGCTTTCCTCTCCTTTGTAATCACTGGGGTGAGGAAGGAAAGACTAAGGCAGATGAGGATGTCCTGGAGGGGCAGACAGTCCAAGTGATCGGACTCGATGAAACGGGGTTGCTCCCAGCAACTCCTCAAATGAGGGCTGCCAGGTTTCTGAGACCAAGTGCTGCATATGCTTCCCTCTGCACATAGCACATGTGATGTCTATGCGTCCTCCAAGAGCTGGATCCAGCCGTTGTTATCCAAAGTCCCATGGCTGGAACCTGCAGCTCTGGAGATAACTGCAATCTGCAGTGAAGGCTTTACTCCTTTGACGAGTGCAAAATTGAGTTCCGAGACTGAAGAACGTAGCACAGCGGACCTCTCTGTTTTGCCACTTTTGTCACTGGGCTTGTTGCCACCTGTCAGTGGCTGGTCCTACCCTCATCTAGTAGGAAGGCTACTTGCATGCAGGCCCAATGCCAGTGCCTCACTTGGTGCAGGCCTTTTGTAAGCTAGGTGAGCACCCCTTTCAGCTTTGTAACACTTTGAAGGAATAGGCAAGAAAACCGGTCTTTTCCTTCCAGATACATCAGTCCGTGTTCCTACCACCTCTTCTTTCGTCTTCTACTGTAGGCATGAGCTGGTTGCTCCTTGCCTGCTCTCTGTAGCTATTCTGGTATGTTAGCTGCTAACTTTGCTACTCAGTTTCTTCTCAAGATCCTCTGCTTCACAGTTCACAGGTTGCCTCCAGGCAGCCTGCTTTTGAAAGGGTTTTTGCTGTGGAGGAGGGAGGAAAAGGAAAGTTGAAAGCTGAATGGCTGTTACGGAGTGGAAGGAGGTGGCGGTGGTACAGGTCAGCTCACGTCAGCCCCAAGGCTGCTACTTTCTGTGCAGGGCGCAGATCCTCGTAGGAAGTTTGTGTATTGTGGTGGCCAAGACTTCTACTGTTAAGTCTTACTTTGGTCAAGGGTTTTCTACAAGGTCCTTGCAGCCGCAGGTACTTCCCACCTTCCAAGGGGTGTTTCCTCGGCAAGATTGTTTCTTCAGAGCCACCTAAGGTTCCTGCCAGAGACCCCATCAGAGCCAGTCATCCATTCTCTTCCCAACCTCCATCTCATAGTCCCACAACTCTGCCATGTATCTCCTCTTCAGCCTTTTTCTGTCTCAGAAATCCAACTACTTCTATACTTCTAGAGGGTATAGCTATATCTTGCATGATTCAGCTAGACATGATGTGGTATCAGGACCTGTGATGAGACCCCAGCAGCTCACCAGTATGTATCTCTCCAGAGCTCTGCCCATCAGTGGTGTTGCTGAAAGACTGCTACAGGGCTGTGCCCTGGTGGGAGGGAGCAAAGGTGCAGGAGTCTTCTGCGTGAGTACTGCTAAGGCTGAAAAGGCTTCTTCATCTCAGCAGCTTGGCATTCATGCTCCTGCTCCGCAGGCTTTCCTTGAAGAACTTCAGTTATCGATAAGCAGTTCGTCTCTCTGACAGATCACAGGGAACAGTACTTTAAAATCTACTTGGAATAAAAAATTATCTGACAGATCATCTGTATCTGGTTTTGAGAGCGAGTTCATAATTATGTGTAGTTCCCCAAGCTTCTTGAGATACTTGCACTTCCACTTTGAAGTGTTTAGCGTG